ACAAAGTTTTATTTAATTATTTTAGTTTTTTAAAAAAGTAAATCAGAGCTAAAAAAGTGCAAAAATGCAAGCAAATTTGCCTGTGTTCTACTACAATTTAAGAGATACAATATTATATAATTTTAATTATCTCAAGAAGTACTGCATAGAATTTAATAATCTTTTTTTTATTTAAAAGATATAGATTAATGAATTTATTATTTTATTTTTAGTTTATTTAGCTTTGTATAAATTTTTAAAACATATTAATAATAATATGATATGGCACTATATATAAAAAATTAATTAAATTTTAAATATTTTTTTAAAAAAATTATATTTGTAGCCAAAATTTTGAGATATACTGTATTAGATATTTTGGCCAATAATTTTAGGTTTACTAAACTAAAAAAAACTTTCTATAATACTGTAATATAATACATATAAAACTTAAAAAACTAATTTACAGAAAATTTTTTTATTATAATATTATAATTAGTTATAAAAAATTATGTAATTTTGGTTTTAGGCTACATGTACCATACGTGCTATGCTTTTGTTTAGTGCTTTATAAAATTAACCAGATCATAATGAACTAGGTGAGTAAAATCTTCTAAATAAATTACGTTAAGATGAAATTCGCGTTTAGCTATGTTTTTTTTATGCAAAAGCATTTTACGTATTAGTTCACAGCGCGGGTTTCACCCAATCGTACTATAATTAATACAATAAATGTAAAAGTATAAATATTTAGTATATACGTATAGAATCAAACCACGGCATACGTACGTACAAATATGTATACATACTGTATGAGTGCCGCCAAGGGAAAACCTGTCATCGGACTAATGTTGTTAATCGAAATATACTATTTAGTCAAGCATTTAGACACAATGTTATTCTGAAATATATTTCGACATGATATTAGTTGTTGTCGAAATGTTAAAATCCCAAATTTGACTAAATATCTAAATAGTTGACTAAATAAATATTATATGACTAAATGTTTAAATTAGTGATAATGAGGACTTGTATATTAAAAGTAACTATATATATAATTTTGATTGATAGTAATCCAAATTCAAAAACATTTATGATAGTGAGACTGTGTGAAAAAAAGCATGCATAAAAATGTGAGAAAATTTTCAAGCAGATGTCTTTTAGAAGGTATATATAATTAAACCTGCTTGATAGGGTAAGCAACCGTTTTTGATCAAATCTATTTTACGTAAAGTAGCGTGAAATCCACAAAATAAACCAGCTCGGATACTTGCTAATAAATAGGGTTATATTTTTTTTAATTTAGACATTTTGACATTATTAGACATTTCGGCATAATTTAGAATTTCGGCAGACTAAATCTCAAATGTCGAAATATTTCTACGTACAAGCTCAAAACAATTTCGGCTAACAACATTACATCGGACTTTCAATTATATTTCGTGTACAATTAGCAGTTATGAAAAATCTATCATAACGATAAACGATAGAATTTCCATAGATGACTAACTGTACACAAAATATCATTGAAAGTCCGATGACAGGTTTTCCCTTGGTGGCACTCATATGGTATCAAGCAATTTTTTACTATTAATATGTTGTAAGTGGGAATGGAATTTAATGTTAAATGAATTTGGAATTCCCTAGTTAAATTAGGGTTAGGGTGTACATATGATACGTAAAATCAACTCAAAAAACGGGGGGTTTTATATATATAAATTCCGAATCCACTTCAATTCCGTTTCCATTTACAACATATACATTTTAAAAAGTAGATAGATAGATAGATCTGTATTATAATACAGTATATAAGAGTAATACGTAATTAATATTAATATTAACTTGAATTAATTAATTAATTATAGGATTTCGAAATATTCTAATTCTAATATATACAAATGAAAAAAAAAAATGGAAAAAAAAATATATATAAAAAACCGAATATTTTTAAAATAAAATCACACATTTTGTATGAGAATTTCTTTTTATAAAAATTGTGATACTCGCACAAACAAGTCGGCTAACTCCCAAAAAAGAAAACGAAGAATTAGTGATTGATTGTGCGCATGTAAATATCATGAAATATCATGTAAATACCATACATGGAGATTTTAATTAGGTCCCCCGTATTTATCGATTTCCATATTTTTCTTTTCGTACTGAACAGCAAGAGTGTACGTACGTACTGTAAAAAGTTGTTATATAATAAATTATTATTATTATTATTATTACGTATTATTATTATATTATTATTATTATTATTATTATTATTATTATTATTATTACGTATTACGTATTATTATTATTATTAATTAATTATTATTATTACGTACGTATTATTAATTATTATCAGTTATTATTATTACGTACGTATTAATTATTAACTATTAATTATTACGTACGTACGTATTAATTATTAGTATTAACAGTTAATTATTTGCTTAAGCATTTGATACGTTCATTTTCATCGAAAAAAAATTGGTAAAATAATTTTAACAATGCAAGTTAGATAGTAAATCTGTACAAGATGAGTTTTTATTTTATTGCAGATTATTGAGAGTTTTGGAAAATTTTTAACGTGTTTATAGACGCCTCATCAACGACATCATAAACATTGAAAACCATTTATTAACAAGAAAGATAAAATTAAAAGATTAGAATGATTGGGGGGGGGGGGAAAAACTAAGCTAACCTAACGAACGATCTAGAAAATTTTAGCATTGATATTGATATTGTCTGTACATGCAATTTAAGATAAAAAAAATTTTCTTCAGGGTTATAAGAAATTTTCATGATCATATAATCGGTGAGCACCAGCTTCGGCAGAAACCACAACAATCATGGGATCAATACCAGGTAATGGAAATCTTTGTAACAGTAGATTAGCCTCATTAGCAGCACTTTCACGTATAAGATTTATGGCATAGTTATGATTTTGACGTGGATTTAGACCCGTAAGATGATAATTTTCTTCATGTAATTTCACGGCCTATTGTTAAACGATTATTGTTAAATATTAAGAGTGATTATGACATTAAAAAGACGATACATATTTACATATACAATACCTTGTATGCGGCAGCTCCGGCAAGGGTAGCAGGTGAAATAGGAAATCGTGGGTCTGGGCCATATACGTAGATCTGATTATAATATTGTTCCATTTGAGCTATGTAAATTTTTTTGAAAAAGAATAGGACGTACGTACGTAAGTAATTAGTAATTAGTATCAATATGTATTAGTGTAAAAAAAGATATATATGAATTATGATTAAAAAGAAAAAAAATAAATATGAATTATGAAAAAAGAAATAAATATGAATTATGAAAAAAGAAATAATATGAATGAAAAAAAAAAAAAATCAATGAATTACGAAAAATCAATGAACTATGAAAAAAGAAATAAATATGAATTATGAAAAAAAAATAAATACCAGGATTCGAACCAAAAGCATCAGGCACGAATGCGTCAAAACCTCTTAGGTTTTGACCATAAGCAGTTTCATTGTGTTCAAAAATCATTTTTTATAAAGTTAAAGGGTTTGAAAATGTATTTTTATGAGGAGATATTTTTATGATCAAATCGTATTGAGGAAAGGACGGCGACAACCCTTGGCTTTTATACTAAAAACGAAATACATATATACGTAAATCTATTTATATAAAAATATAAAAAATATATATATACCATCATTATTTATTGCAATAAAATATAAACAGTTTAATTTATCATTCGGAGCATTTAATACGTACAAATAAACAAAAAACCCCACTTTAAAAGAGTAACTTTCGTGGGAAAGAAAGAAAGTATATTTTTATAATTAACCAATGAAAGTATTGGGACTCGAGTCAGGGTACTAAAGAATAAGTTAGGTCTAGTTTTAACAAATCCGATGAATTTTTCCCTGTAAATCAAATCTTTATCAGAAAAAAGCAATATCGACAAAGTCCGAAACCGTCCTGTAGACAAGGGGAGAGGGATCATCGTGAAACGTGAAATGGGAACCAGAACAATTCATTGAATTGTTTAATAATCAGAACAACCGGTTTAAATTGGCACACCCGAGTTTCATTGTTTACCCAGGTAAATTCCGAAAGACAACCAAAAGGTAATACAAAAAAAAGACAAGATATGAGTCATATTAGACCAAATAAATATGAAAATATTGGATGAAATATTGGACAAAATATTGGACAAAATATTCAACCGGTGATTACAAAGCAAAATGTATCGGATACCAAGACCGAATAAAGATTTTTTAATTGTACATATGTATGTACGTACGTACGTATATACTAATAAAGTACGTACGTACGCATGTACATACGTAAGTACGCAAGTATGTACTTAAAATTAATAATTATTTATAGAATGAGTTCTATATTACGTGTTACACCAAGAACGGAGGCTTTGATATGAAAGGACACATTTAAAAGCCAAATGTTTGACCACTAGGACCAATAATAGCCATAAAGGGCATAAAAGAGCATAAAAGAGCATAAAAGAGGGTGACATTTGAAAAATCTCCTGATGAATTACGTATTATTTATGACAACCTTTGAACCCTTTAGGACATCACAACGATCAAATCAGCCAATGTATCAAATCATTTTGAGTATCAATCATTCAAGCCAGTAAATAAGGTTCAATCAATATGTATCAAAGATGGTGAGATGGTCACTGATGTGGCTGTAAAAGTGCATCATTTTCTCAGGCTATTTTTTTTTTGTAAATATGGGTCCCTTTCATTTATGGGAATTGTTTTATGATATGATTGGCAGAGTTTGACACCATAAAAGATCAACAGTAAATATATTATTTATATTTTACAGTATTATGAAAGAAATTACAATTGCAGAATTGATCCATGACGTTTGACCCCATTGCCAATTTAGAGATGATTCGTTTACATATTGTTCCTTTGCCTTTTACTCAATTATGAATATTTTAAATACACTTTTAAAGATATCTTTAAAAGGATATCTTAAAAGACGATATCTTAAAAGGATATCTTAAAAAAGATATCTTTGACGATATCTTAAAAGATATCCTAAAATAGATGTCGTATATTCCAGAACTTACCAAGAATGATTTAGTAATCAATGTTTCTTTTACTTCTCTTTTACTTTACCTTTCTTTTACTTTTCTAAACCTATCGGAATATCCCAAGCCGTTAGCATAAACTTTAACGTTAACATTATCTTAAGTTAATACAGTAGTATAATATCAACGTTTATTGTTAACGTTAATGGTGTAATATCAATGTTTAATGTTAACGTTAATGGTGTAATATTAAATAACGTTAATACTAGTGTTAACGTTAATACTGATACGTAATATTAAAGTTAAATGTACGTACGTATTAACGTTGATATTACAGTTAAATTGTACATACCTGATACCTGATACATACGTACGTATGTATTTTAACGTTGATATTACACAATTAACGTTAATATTAACGTGAATATTAACGTTGATATTATACGTACGTACTATACATTACTGTATTAACATTAATGTTAACCTTAAAACGTGTTTTTTTTCTGATTATACAGCAATACCGTATTAGGAAACTAATATACGGTCATTTAATTTACATTTATAACATTCGGTTTTTGATCTTCTAACAATCTATTGTGTTATTTGAACACAACACACAAGATGACGTGTGTTTAATAATGTATTACTTTTTAACAAGTTTTTCATGAGAAAAAATCAAGCAAGAAATAGTCTGATTTAAAATCTCAAGGTATGTAGGTACGTAGGTACCGGTCCATGCGTACCACTTTCTTACGTATTGAACTTTACGGATATTTCTGTATTTAGAGAAATTGATTTCCCTGATTTTCATTTGGCGATATTGAATATATATTATTGGTTTTATTGTTGTTACCGTTACGTAAATAATTAGTAAATAAGTATCATTTAAAAAAAAACAAAAAAAAGGAAATGCTTTACTAGTTTATAAATTAGTAAATTAGTATCATTAAAAAAAAAAGAAAAGAAAAGGAAATGCTTTACTACTTTACGTATAACGCTTTATAACAATACTTTATTAACAATACTTTTACTAGTTTAATGAATCGATCAAGTTGATCAAAAAGATTTATTTTTTTTTTTTTGCTTTCTATACAAATATTGGCGAAGAAAAAAAAAAACACGTATTAGGTATTGATGATTATTTAACCTAGTGATATTGATATTCATGATCCTAACATATTCTAATTATTCTAATTATTCTAATTATTCTAATTATTCTAATTATTCTAATTATTCTAATTATTCTAATTATTC